CCCAAGTCTTCCTCTGAGGCCCCCAAGGCCCTGCAAGACCTGCTCCTCCTTCCCTCTCTAACCCTCACTCACTCTGCTCCAGCCATGCAGGCCTCCAATGTATACAATGCACCTGGCAAGGTCCTGCCCCAGGGCCTTTGCACTGCCTCTACCCTCTTCCTGGAATGCTCTTCCTCCAGATCTCCACATGACTGGCTCCATCCCATTTTCCAGGTCTCAGCTCAGTTGCCACCTCCTCAGAGACACGCTCTTTGACACCATCAGCTAAAACAGCCCCGCCCTCCTCAGCTACACGATCCAGTATTACTGTCCTCAGGAAAACTTATTATACTTGATTTACTCTATTTCCCTAGTTGGTATCCATGTCCCCACCTGGATGTGAGGTCAACAAAGGCACGGCCCAGTCTGCCTTGGTCATTGCCGGGTACCCAGAACCTAGCACCTAGTAGATAGACACCTATTAAATATCTGTCACCTCATGAAGTGAGAGCAAAGACCACACAGCTCCAAATGAGATCAGAGCCAGAGGCCACAAAGTTTCTGCTTCTCAAAGTTATTCTTTTTTTCTGGAGTAAGAAAAACAACGGGACTATGCCTAGCATGTTACCTGTGTCCTCTTCTTTAAATGTTCAACCCTAAGGGAGAGAAAATAGCATCTATGCTTTAAAAATGGGTAAATTGAGTCTCAAGGAGGGGGCATGAGTGCATGAGTGAATGAGCAAAGACACGGACTCAAACCCACGTAAGTCTGATCCAAGTGGGCAATCTCTAAGGGCAAGAATTCAGTGAGGCTGTCTCACCTGCCCAGGGGCTCTGACCCCTTGGCCTCTGGGAAAAGTTCTAAAACTATCAAAATATGTAGCCAACCCCACTGCGAACTCCTACACATCCATCATTTCCCCAGCTTCAGTGCCCCGCCTTTGTTCATCTTCTCTGATCCACTGGGCAGAGACCAACTTTCCCCAGCCCCATTTGCTCCTTACGCCCGGACTCTGACTCCATGTAGCAGAGAGGGCCAGGGCCTGCCTGTTTCCCCTTCTCCAGCCTGGAAGCCCCTTGAGGGCCAACTAAACACCTGAGCTAAAGCCTTTTTCTCTGGGATCCCAGTGTCACCCAGCGTGGGGCACGGCACACAGGGGCCAACAGGAGCTTTTGTTGAGTGACTGATCTCCCCAGCTGCCCTGGACCAGATCTCCCCCAGGGCCCCTCTTAGAACCCATAATCCTCTTCTGGGTTCCTGCAGTTAGGAAGTCCTCCCCTAGGTCTGCCCTTGGAAAGCAGGCTCCGCCAGGGCCAATGTGCATCCTGGGAAATGTAGTCCTCACTAGCCTGGGCCTCCTCCCAGCAGGCCCTGGGGCGGCCACCAGTGAAGGGTCATGAAGGGGGGCTGGTGGGGCGCCGTATCCCTGCCCAGAAGAATGGAAGAGGGGTCTCCAGCCTCTTAAGTCACCTCTGTGGCACTTTCTAATGCCTGTCACTTTACGTGGACATCCCCAAAGGCCAGGCGACAGACAACCGTGATAATGAGAGAGTACATGGCTCAGGTCCAGACCGATCAGGACACACACTGAACCCTGGCTCTGGTGGGCCAAACCTGCGCTGTGTCTAGGGTGGGGGGGTCGGTCTGCAGCCGCTCCTGGGTAATTCATCCACAGGATGTGGGGCAGATGGCTGGGGCCTGAGTCCGGGGCTGCTTGGAGCCTCAATTTCCCTACTTCTGCTCAATGGGGCCACACTCACAGTCAGCCCTCATCACTGCTGGGTCTTCCAGGAATCAGACTGAGTATCCCCAGCCCCTTAAATGGCTTAGAGTTTCAGAATCACAGTATCTTAAATATTATAGTTCAAAAACCCCCACAGTACCTGGAAATTTAGAAGAAATTTGGGGGATTGCCTGGGCCCTGACCAATATCAGAATTATTTTTCCAGGATTCTGGAAAGATGGCTATCAACCTCACTTGCCTGCCTCCCAGGACAGGCCACTCACTACCACTCCAAGCAGCTCACTGGGTTTCCAGGAGCCCGTCTCCTGGTAGCTACCCTTCCTTTCGGCTGCTCAAGATCCAAAACGTTGCCCATTCCCTCCCCTGCTCTAAAACCTTCCGTGGCTCCTAACTGCCCTTGGGATAAAGCCCAAGCTCAACTTGGCATTCTTGGACGCTATCCAACTCTCAGGCCTAATTGCTCTTTATCTCCCACCCCTAAAACAGTCCAGCCACTCAGGGCTCCCCAACACACCCTGCCGTGGCTATTCTTGCCGCTCACTCCCTCTACTTCGAATCCCTGTCCTCCTCTTCTCCTGGGATCATCCTTCCCGTCCCTCCAGTCCCAATGCCAGCACCCCCTCCTCCAGGCAGTCCTCCCTGATTCCATCTGTCCTGACCCTGGCTGAGGCCTCTCTGGACACCCCAGCATCTTCTGACAAAGGGCCAGGCATGCAGGACGGGCCCCACCCCGGGGTCAGCCAGAGATACCACCTTCCCAGGAGACGGGAGCGACCGGCATGTCCTTCAGCCTCCAGGGACCCAGCTCACCTGTCCTGCGGGCTGACGTCAGGGTCACCTTTCCAAGGACAGTTTGATTTCTATCTTCCAGGTCCAGCCCCATGTAACCCCAGCAACTCCTGTCTCAAGCCCTGGGCAGCCACTGCAGATGACAAACCCTCCTACGGCCTGTCTCCAGCACCTTCCTTGCCCAGTGGACAAAGGCGGACACAAAACCTAGAGGAGGAGGGACCCCTGCCGGGTAAGCAATACCTCCGCTCAGAGACACTGTCTCACCTCAAAGCAGAGGAGGCGACAGGACCCGGAGGAGCCGTGGGTGCTCAACCCCAGCAGAAGGTAGGCAGGAACTGGAGGGAGAGTGGAGAGGTACAAATCCAGGGCATTCTTATGTGACCTCTCTTTGCCTCATCTCCCTCCACTCAGGCCCTAAACCCAAAGATTGCCTCCTGGGGAGATGGCAACCCAGAGAGGACTAGACACCTGTCTGAGGTCACACAGCTGTGGCCCTCTTAGCCCCAGCTCTTTCCTCTACACCGAATTTTTTTCTTTTGGAGAGGGCTGGGGCACTGGAAGCTCCAGGCCCAAATTTCCACACAGCCCAGAGTGGACAGGGTGGTGGTGGGTCCAGGGTAACCTTTGGGAGGACTCCTGGGTTTCAGCTGATGTGGCAGCTCCTTTCCCCCTTAACCCTGTCTAGCAACCTCAGGAGAGGAGAGGTCTGGCTTCCCTCTTTGCCCACTCTGCCAATTTCTTGGGCCTCAGTTTCTCCATCTACTCTTGGGAACAGGCCAGTTCACATGCCATTTGAATGAAGCTTTTGCCAGGCCACCACCTACCCAGTATTCAAGGGATCTCCTATGGGCCACAGTGACCTCCCAGCCAACTTCCTAGAGAGCTTAGGACCCCCTCCCAGGTGGGCCCTGGACCCACTGGTGAGCCCCAGCCATCTCCCCACATGCTGTACTCATTCTAAATAGAGTTTAGAGCAATTGCCCAGATACATCCCCAAATTCACCCCTGAATAGCGTCTACTAGGATTTGGGAAAGAGGCTGGGTGGGGGGGAGCCCATGGAGGAGGGGATGCTCCAGCCAGTGGACTCCTTGAGAAGCTGAGGGAACCCAGAGAAACATGAAGAAATGCAGTTTTGTAAATGGGGTGGGGGGGTCTCTTCTGTTGGCCCAGCCATCAGCCACCGTCCCGCTTTCCTCCTTGAGCCCAAACCCAGATCCCCAAAGCTTGAAGGTCCCTTCTTCTAACTCCAAGCCTCAGTTCCCCTCCAGTATGCGGGTCAAAGATGACAACCTCCGGGGTGGGGGGTGTGGGGGGAAGGGGCAGGGAAGGTAGGATGCCAAAGACCTCAGCCAGAGAGGGCCAAATAGGGGCTGAGGGTCTGTGAATCGCCTCCAGCCCCAGGACTCTTGCAAATACTCCCAGCTCCAGCATCTACCGGGGCAGGGGTGGGGGGTGGTTCCTACAGCAGCGCCCCCTCTGGGAGGTGCCCTAAACTCGGAGGGCGCCCGCAGGCGGAGAGCAGGGCGGAGAGGGGGGGCACGTGACCCCCGCCCCGGGGACCAATCAGCGTCCGCAGGAGGGGGGCCACACTCGGCGCCCCCCACCTCTCCCGGCGCGCTCGGAGAGAGACGCTTTCTTTGTCCCTTTGTCAGCTCTTGGGGGGCCCCGAACCCCCAGGCCCCCACTGCAACGGGGGGATCCGGACAGGCTGGCTCTCTCCCCCCACCGCGGCCCCTCCCCCGCGGCCCGGGCCCTGGACTCTTTCTGGGCCGGGCGTGCGGCAGGAGAGGGCTCAGCGGCGCCCAAGGTGCGGCGGCTGGACCGCCGAGTGGGGTGGAGGGGCCTCACCGGGCCAGGACCACCGCACCGGTCCCGGGTCCGCCTCGACTTAGCTCTCAGGGCTCCGCCCCCCAGCACCACCCCCCCCCACCCCCGGCCAGCAGGCCCCTGCCGGCCCCGAACCCCCCACCTGGGCCCAAATCCAGCTCCCCAGCGGCGCAGCCGCGAGCCCCGTTATTGTGCCTCCCACGGCCCCCCCGGACAAAGTCTCCACCCGCTGCGGTGCCGACAGAACCCCCATTATAGCTCCACATACAGGCCCCCAGGCAACAATCCAGGCCCCCCCAGCTGCGGTGCCATTAGACTCCCCCATTATGGTGCTTCATTCAGCGCCCCAGGCCCAAATCCAGCCCCTTCAAAGCGATGCTACTGGACCCCCACTACACCGTTCCATACAGTGGCCCCCCCTAAAATCCAGCCCCCTCCCCAGTTGCGTCGCTGACAGATCCTCCCGCGATAGCGCTCCACAAACCCCCTTGCCGGCCAAATCCATCCCCCTCCCGGCGGCGGGGCCCTCCGGCCCCCATCCTAGCGCCTGACCCGGCCGCCCCGGCCGACGATTCAGCCCCCCAGCTGCGTGCCGACAGACACCCCGGGACTGCGCCGCCCCCAGCCCCCTCTCGCAGACGCCCCGGGGCGCTTACCTCGGAGCCGCCGCGCCGCGAGTGCGCGGGAGGGAGCGCGAGGGCGGGAGGGCGCGGGCGG